CCTATGAGGAAGAAATCAACAAACTCCCCGCTGACCAACAGTCCTGCTTCTACCGTTTCACCCGCCCTACTGACGACGTTGACTGATCACCTGCTTCCTGACTTTCTTCATCTGCTCACCTGCTGATGTCTGCGGTCCTGCATCTGCTGACCTGATTAATATATTGACCTTACTCACCTTGTCTACCTTGTGACCTGTTGGACCAGGTGTGGGGGTAATAATCTTGGAGTGAGATTCACCAACATTTACAGCTGTTATGTTTAAGATCATACAAGTTGACAGTACAAGTGTGTGTGTGTGTGTATAGGTCATTCTTCTTCCTTTTCGTTTCTCTCCTCATTTCTAAAGGTTTCTGTTCCTCTTGGTAGATAAAAACGTGGATTATTTTGTCATGTGTTCACGTCTATCACTCCTGAACTTAAATATACACCAGAGAATAATAATAATACTCATTCAACATCATCTATGAGACTTCACCTTAACTTAACAGCCACGATGACAAGAGACCGCAATCCTATTTTATAATTATTCATCTTCTACATAAGTAAATTCCTTTTAGATATGTCTGAGCAAAAAACACATTTACATACATTACCTAAGAAATGATTAAAAAGGACCTTGTAAATAGTTAAACGTGTTATGGAAGATGAATATACCTGTAGTATGTGTGATCGTTAGTTTGGTTACCAGGTGGGAGTCGACTCTCTGGCTCCAGTACGTTAGAGACCCTCCTTGACCAAGTTAGACTAGACTCTTGGATTCGATACCTTCAAGTGTGTGGGTTCGAATCCTTGCACCCAATGGAGCTAAAGTGTTCCATTAGTAATAATATCTATCTTAAGTCACCATACTCAAAAGATTTACTGATCCCATTCAAGGGGTTAAATCATCGTAATCAGGAGGTTAAATCATTATATTAGAGGGTTTAATCATTGCAGGGGTTAAATCATTATATTCAAGAGGTTAAATCATTGTACTCAAGAGGCTAAATCATTGTATTCAAGGGGTTAAATCGTTGCAGGGGTTAATTATATTCAAGAGGTTAAATCATTGTACTCAAGAGGTTAAATCTTTATATTCAAGAGGTAAATCATTGTACTGAAGGGGTTAAATCCTCATCATATTCCAGGGCTACATCATTGGACTGAAGAGATTTGGCTTTTGAGGGAAAATTATCAGCAATTTGTTAGTCTCGTGTTTGAAACCAGACTTGTAAACTGTACGTCGTGTCCAACTTTTAATATTGGCAACTTTTTCATATATTTGTGAGTTTTATTATCCTTTTATCATCACAGGTCACTATCAAGTCAGTCTACATGTCACTATCAAGTCAGTCTACATGTCACTATCAAGTCAGTCTACATGTCACTATCAAGTCAGTCTACATGTCACTATCAAGTCAGTCTACATGTAACTATCCAGTCAGTATTCATGTCACTATCAAGTCAGTCTACATGTCACTATCAAGTCAGTCTACATGTCACTATCAAGTCAGTCTACATGTCACTATCAAGTCAGTCTACATGTCACTATCCAGTCAGTCTACATGTTACTATCAAGTCATCTACATGTCACTATCCAGTCAGTCTACATGTCACTATCAAGTCAATCTACATGTCACTATCCAGTCAGTCTACATGTCACTATCCAGTCAGTCTACATGTCACTATCCAGTCAGTCTACATGTACTATCAAGTCAGTCTACATGTCACTATCCAGTCAGTCTACATGTCACTATCAAGTCAATCTACATGTCACTATCCAGTCAGTCTACATGTCACTATCAAGTCAGTCTACATGTCACTATCCAGTCAGTCTACATGTTACTATCAAGTCAGTCTACATGTCACTATCCAGTCAGTCTACATGTCACTATCAAGTCAATCTACATGTCACTATCCAGTCAGTCTACATGTCGAGTGACAATGAAAAGAAATTTATGATTCATTTACCTGAGGTTAAGGCCATAGTGAATGAGCCACCACCTGTTTCATCAAGTACTGCTCAGTACTGGTCCTTGTTACCTTAGTTAACCTGCTGCAGCTATGTGGATCATCTTTGGTACAGTCATTATAAAACTATCTAATATTGACACCATCTGGCATAACTTAGTCTAGGAAAATATCCCTGTGTTTACTGTACCTCTCCCATAGTTTCTTGGAAATTGATGCCAAAAGAAATTTAAAACTCCAACTTTGAGGTGACACTGTCAGTATATATGTAGAAGGTGTTAAATTCATTTAATTAATTACTGAACAATCCACACTTCCCTCGATGACAAGACCAACAAAGTATCTTATCAGTGAGGCTGAGTAGAGTTCTTTTACGACACACGAGCTGTCTTTTACCTGCTAGAAATCTGTCAACAGCAGCTGTAAGTCTGATCCCACACCGAACAAGACCACAATTGGTAGTGGAGATGCACAAGTTCCAACAATTCCCTGAAAAGGGCAGATGGAAACAGACTAAACTTTGTAGCTGTAAATGACATGTAAAATATCATCACAATAATATTGTTATCGTTAGAATTCCCGCCGAAATTTTTGTTTAGCCTTTTTGTGTTTATAAAGTACTGTAGCAAGATTATTTCACATAAACAGCGAATGGTATAACATACAATTAATTACCTGTATATTATAATGGTAATATTTTTAGTAATGTACTTCATAACCATTCACTAATTAAGGTTGAAGCTGCCTCACCTGTTGGGTAAAGTGCCGTAGTGCAGGCACCAGTCTAGTGGCCCTCTTGTGGACGCTCTCAATCATCTGACAGTCTCTAGCATATCTCGGGGACCAGATAGTGAGACTGTCCGCTGCTGTACACGACCACATTGTGGGTCGGGTGTCATGGTCACAGTGTGTGTGATGATTCATATTATGCTCCACGCCCACAAAACATGTGGATAACTGGTGAGTTACCCCGCGGAGGAAACGTTTTTTTCTAGCTTAAGTGCCGTCCATTTTCTCTAACTTTCTGAAACCAACCTCTCTATAAAGTAAACTTGAATGTGTGTGAGGACACCGCTGTTTTGGGTCAACTTAGATATGTCTGATTACAGATGAAGCATTCAAGATCCTTTGTGACTGACTTTGAAAGCTTCATTTGTATTTATTTTTAATGAAATTGTCAATATAAGTCAGGGTAGAGATTACTGTGAGAATGAGGTATTGACGTCTTCCCTAGAGACGCTGTTAGTTGCTAACTAATGCTGAAGCTACCTCTTTGTGATCAGTGAACCTCAGAGAATCTGATATTTGTATCGAAAGTATTGTCAATTATCTTGTTTAGAAACTAATTAATTATTCTGAAGGGAAGTATCAGCCTCCTTATCTTGACCATCTAACGGGGTGTAACCTAATACTCCTTGTCTTATGCTCCTCCCACCAGGGACTGCCATCCTGAAACTTGAAATCAATTTAATTTTTGTCTTTTAAAACTCAGTCATTGCATAGTTTGAAAAAATGACATAAGTCAATTAAAATGAGTTCGTAGCCTGATTTCCACACATGAAAGGTGTGTAGTAACAGAGGTTGTTTTAGATCTGTGTGAGTACACAGGGGTGGGGAAGTACGGGCTGAGACAGTCTCAGACTAAAATCCGCCATCGCCCTATTCACAGATTCCTGTAGGTCAAGAGTGGTCGTTGTATGTTGGGACGACATCCAGCCCTCGTAGTGGAGATGGATGAAACCACGGAGACCGAGTCGCGTTACAGTATATCCACGCGGCCCAGCCAGGCCAGCCGCCCGCCAGGCCAGCCGCCCGCCAGGCGCCAGTCTGTGTTGCAGTCCTTGATCTCACGCACTATAGTTAACACAGCCAGCTCACAGTAGCAGTGTTGTGTTTTGAGTCCACCTCTAAGTAGTGTGTGCTGGGGCTGTGTTATTCATCTGAGTACCCATGTATGCATCTCCTCAGGGTATAAGTGTGTGGAAGCAACAAGAGTATGAGGTCGCCACTTATTTCTTGGCGAATATAGAAAAATATCAGAAAGAAGCTACGTCCGTGATAATGTTAAGGTAGTATTGTTGGTGTGTCCCTAGAGTCCTGTGATTGGTTAAGAGTTGAGGACCTCAGGTACTGTGTATTGTTGGTGCTCAAGTGACCAGCATAATATGTAAAGTACTTGAGAGTATTATCAGAGATGCCGCGATGGAACATCTACTACGGAACAACCTTGTAAAGGATTGCCAACACGGTTTTATGCCGGGGCGCTCCTGCTTAACACAATTGCTCAAGGTATTGGATATTTGGACCCATATTCTGGAACGGGGTGGTAATATCGACAATATTAACCAAGATTTTGCCAAGGCTTTCGACAGTGTACCCCATGAAAGGCTGAAAATCAAACTGGAAGGGTACGGAATTCGGGGAAATGTCCCAGCATGGATAGAAGACTTTCTACATGACCACAAGCAGTGTGTGGTGATTAATGGCACGAAACCATCATCCGTACCTGTCACAAGTGGGTACCACAGGGCAGTGTATTGGGCCCGCTGTTGTTTGTTTGTTTCATAAATGACATGCCTGACGTTGTACACTCCTCCATACAAATGTTTGCCAATGACGCCAAGTTATTTCGGGAAATCAAGAACCAAGCTACTACTACTTTGCTACGCCCACTGCCGTAGATATTTCAGATTCTTGCACTGGAATTGCGATGGTCATACACAATTTTATAACAAACACGAGGGGATTTGTGCAAACATCACAGTTGCTTGTGTTTCACGTCTTTGCCTTGACGTTCTGAATGTGTACACACACACACACACACACACATACACACACACACGCACACACATACACTATCACACAGTAAATTCCATATGATCAATGATATATAACAACGTGAAAACGTTAACACAGGCTCACTCCGCTGGTTACCATGGAAACAGGGAACGCTACCCTCACGCCCTGGGTCTTAGCTCGTCGCGTCGCCAACAGATGGAGGTGACCGGGGCTCAGTGGCTCACGTTTCTTTTATCTTTCCTGTCTGTCTATCTCATGACGTCACCACAACAACACACCTGCCGAGCTCTTGGTCAGTTGTGGGATGGTAACAGCAGGTGTGTGATACAACTCTCCATCACTTTAAGGAAGAATAAAGATCAGAGAAGAAGATGGAAAGGCTTCATAAATGATCAATTATGAAGGTTGTTGGAGGGAGAGAACTACTACCATTACTTTACCAAGAAGACTTATAAAAGGATTAACAATTGATCAATACCACAACGGCCAGGTAAGCCCAGCCTCCTACACCTAGTATCTCTCTCTCTCTCTTATTCACTCGCTCTCTTTTCTCTTCCAATATTATTTCAGGTAAAGATGGAGGAGACAGTTAACACCAGATATGACTTGAAGAACCTGACCTAACCTACTGTACCTAAACTGGTCAATTTGAAGTTTAGACTAACCACGGTTCTCGAGCTGAGCAATGTGTTTTACTGATAGTTTAAACAATTGTAACACTTTATTGTTTAAACCAGGGGTCCACAACCTTTATACACTAGTCGGCCACTTAAGGTGCAAGTAATCAGTGATCGGCTGCAGATGTACTAAGCCAACCTAAGTCAGCACTGTGTTCCACAGTACTGAATGTAAAATCATAAATGCCGGACTATATTTTATTGTCAGAAAATTGTTATAAACAACACCGATAATTAAGACTAAACATAGCATTCATTTCAGCAAATAACATACATACTCTGCTTTAAAATAATAGCACGAGTTAATTATAATGTAACAAAAGTAAGGAAACATAACTTTTAGCAGTACAAAATATGGTAATATGAAACTGTCTCCGAGCGGTACAAAATTTAGACGTCACTCGGCCGGCCACCAACGTACTGTAGCTCTTTCCCGATAAATGGGGGTTGTGGACCAATGGTTTAAACTACCAGCAAAACCCATTGCTCAACTCAGAGCCGTGGTTGGTCTAAACCGACCAAAGCGAGGCTGCATAGAACCTATTAAAACCCTACCTAACCATCTAATCTGTGCATTATCTTCCTTACAATCATCCAAACATCATATATCTAAAAAAATGAACTAAGTCAATCCAATATAAATCATAATGGTGGAGCAGATAGCGGCAATTTATGAGGAACTGCCACCACCAGAAGTTGTTTGATTTGGTTCATTTTTCCATAGATGTTCTTTGGGTAATGTACAGTACACCACTACCACCAGAAAAAAGTTTACACATTTAAGAAATTGGTCCAAAGAGTTGTTATTATTATTATTATTATTATTATTATTATTATTATTATTATTATTATTATTATTATTATAGTAAGTATTATTGCTGCTGCTGTTGTAGTAAGTTTTTTAAAAGATGTGACATTTACTAGAACTTAACCTAGCCACAGAACCCAGGAACTACCATATATCTTACCTAATCTAAGATTCCCTAGATGACCGAAACTAAAATAATACTAAAAGAGGCGACATTTACTAAAACCTGACCTAACCAACCTAACTTCCTAGCGGGGGACAGACCCCAGCCATATTAAACAGAAAGTACTTGTTTTGATATCCGTTACCAATGAAAGCAACTTCGTCTAAGCGTCATGGTGTAATTCTACGTTTTTTGTGACACGAGAGCACGACAACGTTGAGGCGGGTGATGACCTTCCTGTAACTGTCCCATTGCTTTATTGCCTTGACTGTCAGGGACCACAAGAGGTATATGTCACCATCTACTTATACATAATAATTTAGATTTAAATCTTGTACGCTACCCATGCTTTGGTGGCTGCTAAATCCCACTGTCCTCAACTCACATCGAGTCATAGCGAGTCCTGTGAGACGCGAGTGCCAGTGTCCGCCGCATGGTCTTGTGACCCCTGGGGTGTAATAAATTAATTAAATAATAACGTCGGTGTGTCGGGCAGATTTATCGGAGGAATATTTTACCGAGAATGTTAGATGTCTCTTACATGTAATTTTGGATAAAAAATGCCAATAAGCAAAGTGACTCTACCTAGACCACCAGCTAGAAATTGGTTAGGGTTAGGTTTCTTTTGGTCAGGTTCATTATTATTCATTTCCCACTGAAGTGTATGGGAAAAGAGTTACTCAGAATGATGAGATATAACCATGTTTGTGTTAAAACCATTAAAATTGGTGAAAGTTCACTTGTAAAAAATTTACTATAATGTGTGGAAGAGGTTGTACTGTTTACTGTACAGTACAGTATGTACACACTAGCATACACTGCTATGGTACTTTTTTACACTTATTGAATGTACAACAGTACTGCTCAACACAGATAATATTTAAAAACAGCAGTGAATGAGAGCGTAATTGCTTGTATAATGGCAACAGGCAATGAATTGATAGTGTCACATATGAGAGTTTGAAAAGGGAGGCTGTGAGATACAGCAGCCAATCATAGGCATCCCAGGGCAGTAGTGATAATCATAGTTCACGGCACTCTTGAGTGTACCCACCCGGAATGGCGGAGATTTTTTCCCTGAGTTTCTTTGGACCGAGATGGTCAGTTGTAAATAAACAGGGTTGGTGACAACAACAATGGCAGAAATATTTATGGTAAAACATAAATTTCTTTTCCACTTACAAAAGCAATATAGAGATCACTTTTGGTTTATTGAAAAGTTTCCTAATGTTTCTCGCTAACCTGTTCTTTCTTTAAAAATATTACTTGGTTAATTTTTTAAATTTGTATTAATACTGTAATTAGTTTAGGTTAGACCTAAGGTACAGTCCTCTTACTAGTGGGTCTGCAGGGGCTCATCATATAAACATTCCACAAATCATTATCTTGAGATATTTGTTGTAATATTGGAATCCATAATATGTTTACTATTATGAATTTCTCCGTTTAATGTTACTCTAACACAGGGCTGCCACACTGCACAAAAACCTGATGCAGAGCCCCCTTGTAAACACAGTACAGTAGTGGAGGGGGGCTGTACCTAACCTCATATAGGCCACTGCACTACAACACGACACACAACTTCTCCTTCCTAACTTAACATCCCAATCTCCTAGTCACTTACATCATTATAACCTGACATTGAAGTAAGCTAACCTCACTCACCTCTGCAGTATGTACCTTACTTGAAGTAAGCTAACCTCACCACCTCACCTCTGCAGTATTTACCTTTACTTGAAGTGTTTAACCTCACCTCACCTCTCTGCAGCAGTATGTAACCTTTTACTTTGAAGTAAGCCAACCTCACCTCACCTCTCTGCAGTATGTACTTTACTTTTGAAGTGTTAACCTCACCACCTCAGCCTCTGCAGTATTTACCTTAATACTTGAAGTAAGCTAACTCAATTCTCGTCTCTGCAGTATGTACCTTACTTGAAGTAAGCTAACCTCACCTCACCTCTCTGCAGTATGTACCTTTACTTTGAAGTAAGCTAACCTCACCTCACCTCTCTGCAGTATGTACCTTTACTTTGAAGTAAGCTAACCTCACCTCACCTCTCTGCAGTATTTACCTTTACTTTGAAGTAAGCTAACCTCACCTCACCTCACCTCTCTGCAATATTTTACTTCAATATGTAAATTGAATGGCCTTACATTACTCTCTGTTTATGTCACTTGGCTTAATTGTTCCACTTGTGAAGTTTATCATTGACTGTTTCATTACTGGCCTCAGAATGGATGACATGAAGATTAGACACCCTAGCTTATTTCACCCGATGATTAAACACCCTAATCTAACCTAACCTACTCTTAACTTAACCCAACCTAACCTAACCTCCCAAGTTCTTTATAGTTAATAATTTTGTTTGTTACAGATGTTACAACAAAACATTGGGAAATTGAACTGCTCCACCATGGCTGAAAATGGTAACTGGTGTATGGAACAAGAGCTGTCACCATGACACTGGCACCGTGGCACTGTACCACATATAACAAGGTGACACTGGCACCGTGGCACTGTACCACATATAACAAGGTAAACTATAGGAGAAACTCTCATACCTTAAAGAGGAGCTGTTTGTGCTCCTCAAACTCTTAAGACAAGCTGCTGTAACTTGTGCTCCTGTTAGTCATTTGTCTGTCTGTTTTCATAACTTTCTATCTGTCTAATTGCTTATGTATGTTTGTGTCTTTCAGTACATCTATCCATTATCTACCACTTATCTCTGTCACTTTATCTACTGTTTTATCTATAGTGCAGTATATATCAATCTATTTATCACGAAAGTAAAACCCCACTATTAAAATAATGGGGCTCTACCTATTACATTTATGAGATCTTATGAAGTACGAGGGACACCTTCTCCCCGGGGGAAAACAACAACGGTGGAAAAAATAAGGGGGAAAACCTTTAGACCGTAGATGTACAACTGACCGTGATCGGCACACATACACTCTTATGGGGAAGAAGATATTTGTAATAATGCATCCTTTGTGATAACCTGGGTAGTCTTATGGCTTATCTATATCTGTATGTATGTACAGTACTGATTATTTATATTTTCATCTCCTTATGTGTCAGTCTATCAGCCAATCTATCTATGTTTACCTGTATAAACTACTGTATTAATGTACCACTAATTTAGCTGGGAATATTAAGACAAAAATGACAGAGTTTGTCAAGCATGGAAAGCTTACAGTCCCAAGATGTTGACATAAACCAAACTTGCATAAAACATACAACTTCTGTACTGAATGACTATTAATTTATGGACATATTTTTATCATAAACTGTTGTGTATATTAAATGTTTTTTGTTTGTTTGTTACAGATGAGTTAACAACTAAACCTTGAGAAACTAACATGTGGATCATGGAGACACTGCTGTTACAGGTGTGTCTTTCTGTATGTTGTATTTATCCATATCTCTATTTTTCTATATATGTCCAACTGTTTATCTTTACTACATTATATCTATATTTCTTTCTATCAGTCCTTTAATATCTGTATGTCAGTCAATATTTGTTATCTATCAGTTGTCAGACTATCTATAGCTACAAGTATCTGTCAGTCTGTCTTATATTTATAGAAAGGTGTTGGCAGCAGTGAGTGTGCAAGGTTGATACACAAGAGGTGCTTTGAAGTGGATAAGTGTTGCACATGTGGCTTTAGCAAGGCTGGAGACACTCAACATTGAGGATATATCCCTGGACTGTGTCAATGAGTGTGACAT